TGCAATGGACGTGAATTTCGCTTTCGCCTGAGGCCTGATCTCCTCGCTCTGGCTCAACGCTCATCTGCTCGTACCCTTGCCCGCGCTGCCAAGGTAAAGAAGCGCCTTCATGATCTTCGAGTCTTTCCACGGTTTGTGGTGGCTCGGGGAGAGGCCTTACGTCGGCCTAAAGACTTTGCTGGATTAGAATGCGGGCTTTGTGAGCATGCTGAAGTCCGCCTTCACCACCATAGTATGACTCTTTGCTTTGGTGGGCCTGCTTTGCTGTCGGCAGGTCTTTGGACATCGCTGGCAATTTCACGCATGCCCTTCAGTGACTCTGATGGCTTCTGCCCGCGGTGCGTCACGCAAGTCGAGACGACCATGCACAGATTGTGGGACTGCCCCCACAATGCCGCTGAACGGGTTCTCCTTGATGGTGCCGTGCCTGGTAACCTGTTCCCGCTGTACTTACCTGCATGTCTTGCCCGCTGTGGGCTCGTACCTGAGCGCCTACCTGGCAATGTCTCACGTGCTGATGCTATTGCTGTTTCACAATACCTTCTTCGTGTGAATGCAATCGCCACGCAGGCTTTGGCTGACCGTCGGTCGGGGCGCCCAGTATCCTTGACCCTGGACGTCCCTCGCTCGCAGCCTCCTGCTGATCTATATCGACAAGCTCTTCCTCCGCTTCCTCGGCCGCGAGCTCTTCAACCTCCACGTGTTGGGCCTGCCCCTCGGCGGGATTTGCTTCCTCCGCAGCCTGGCCCTGGTGTGTTTCGAGCGCCTGCTCAGATTACACTATCATCTGACGGCTCCTCCCACTACGACGATAATGGTGACGCGTCTGGTTGGGGCTTTTGTGTTGCACGTGATGGATGGCCTGCTCTCATTGACTTTTGTGGGCCCACGATTTTGTCTCAGCATGATCCTGGTTTTATTGGAGCTTCGTTCCACTCCAACAACGCAGGTGAACTTGCTGGCATTTACTTTGCACTCTGCTGGATCTGGGAGTACGAACGTGCTCATGCTCCAGCCGAGGATCTCGTTTTCGTACTTGAATTTGATTCTACGTATGCTGCTGATGTTATCCGACGTCGTGTGCGACCCCGTCGTAATCTCACCCTGGTTTTGAGATCTCGGCGAATCCTTGACCGTGTTCGTTCGCCTATTGCATGGAAGAAGGTTTCTTCTCATACTGGGCACTATTTGAATGAACGTGTTGACCAGCTTGCTGCGCGTGGAGCTGCTGGCATGTCTGTGCAGGAGGCCTACGTCTTCAGGTGGGCCGCTCTGTCTACTTGATTGTCGTCGCAGAGATCAGGCAGCCCCTGATCATTTCCAACCACGTGTTCCGCCTCGTGGGCCCTTCTTGGGCTGTCTTTGGGCCGTCTTGGGCCGGCTTGGGCGCCTTTGGGGCCGTCTTGGTTCCCTCTTGGGCTGTCTGGGGGCCCTCTCGGGGGCCTCCCTGGGTCCTTGGGGCGGTCTGGGGGGCCTCTCGGGGAGGCTCTTGGGGCTCCCGCGGGGCGCCTCGGAGGCTTCTTGCGCCGTCCCGGGGCCATCTTAGACGTCTTGGACTGGCTGACTGCTGACGTGGATGATGGGCGCGCGATGTTTTTCAACAGGCGATGGGAAGTGCCAGCGCCGGCCCGTGGGCTCTTGAGAAGCCCAGCTGGCGCTTAAGCCCTCTCGCGACTCGGGCCGAAAACTGCGGAGGTAGAACAAAAAACACCAAACTCGTCGCTCTGAGGAGGAGGAGGAGGAGGAGGAGGAGGAGGAGGAGGAGGAGGAGGAGGAGGAGAGGCGGAGGAGGAGGAGGAGGAGGAGGAGGAGGAGGAGGAGGAGGAGGAGGAGGGAGGAGGAGGAGGAGGAGTGGACGTCTTGGACTGGCGGAGTGCCGACGTGGGCCCCCGCTGCACCGCCTCGGGCGGCCCCTCGGGGCCCCCCCCCCCTGGGCCTCTCTCGGGGCCCTCGCGGGGCCCGCTCGTGCGCCGCGGCGCCGGGGCAGAGCCCCGAATCATCAGGGGTAACTCGGGTCAGGGATAACTCGGGTTCGTTTTTCGGGGATCCGAACCCGAGTTACCCCGGACCCGAGAGTTACCCCGGATAGCTCGGGCGTCCAGAGCCCCGAATCATCAGGGGTAACTCCGGTCAGGGCTAACTCGGGTTCCTTTTTCGGAAATCCGAACCCGAGTTACCCCGGACCCGAGAGTTACCCCGGATAACTCGGGCGCCCAACTGGGGCACCCGGGGCCACGCGGCGCGCCCCAGGAGATCTGGCAATGTTGTCGGGGGCGGCGAGATTTGGCAAGTTTGTCCTCCTCCTCCTCCTGCTCCTCCTCCTCCTCCTCCTCCTCCTCCGTTACAGGCATTCGCGCGGGAGCCTCACCGAAGGCATGCACATCGGCGCCCTTGGATGCATGGATTGCTCCCCCCTGTCATTGGTCCGAAAGATACCCGTACCCGGGGCCAGCCAAGGTGGGATGGGCCGTCCGGGGGACTGGGCGCTTGCTATTGTGCCCGGTCAGCTTGCCCGGCGCGCGCCAGTGCAGCATCCGCGCGTCAAGACGCAACGGCGCGCTCGATGGTTGGGTGTCCGATTGCGGCGACAAGCGCTGGTTTTTGTTAGGGACGTCTCGGGGCATCGTGGTGCGTGCGCGGTTCAAAGCCGCCCATATGTGGCGGCGCCTGTCCCAATCGATAAAGAGTTGCAATTCCTCACTATCCTGGCAACCAATGCGTCTGGGCCTGCCCTGAGGAACGACGTTGCAATGTCGCGCCCCCAGGGGGCCGCAGCGGCCACGTCGGGGACGGCTCTGGAGGGCATGATATGTGTTCGAGAGCGTTTTAGGCCTGCCGCCACCTCGGCTAGGCACGGGGACCTGCCTGAAACCACCGAAACATACCCGGACCTAGCTGGGGTGAGCTACGGCACCCCGGTTAGGTACGGGTATGTTTTTGGGTTTTCATGGGGCAACCGTACCTAGCTGGGGTGATCCGCAGACGGCCGTCCAAGGGGGGCGGCCTCTGGCGACCTCGCCTAGGGCGGTTGTCGCGCAATGACGTTCGCGCCAGAGTTGTTCGCATGCGCCCCCGAGTGCGCGTTGATTCCTCAACGCCCGGATGCGTGTCAGGGGGCGCGCCTCCGAAGTAGCTGGTCTACATCGACAACAACCAACGCAGGGTCGGGCACTCCGCCGATTCGAAAGCACGTGCGATCGGTGCTAACGTGCGCCCCGAGAAGACAGCGGTCTGTAATGCTCGATCGGCTGTCGTTTCTACACTTGTGCAGCCGCCGTCACCTGTGACGAACCGCCCCCCCGGCCCTTTGCCACCCTGTCTAGGTAAGGGTACGGGTATCTTTCGCGCTCGAGACCCTGGGCTATTCGCCCCTCTCGTCGCCTCCGGGCGCGGGCCCCTTCTTGAGGACCGAGGTTCCAGGTGACCCAACAAGGGACCCGAGGACATTCCAGCGCGTACCTCGAATGCACCGTAGCGGATAAACCGCTCCTCCCTGTAGCGCCTTCAGGCGTTGCGGCAGGGCGTGCCAGGCGTTTCGCTTCAGATTTCGTCGCCACGCGCCACCTCGGAACTTGAAATCGGCAGTTGTGCCACGGACGGAGGACGGGCGGTTTACACAATGGCATGTTCGCCTTAATGCTGAGCGCGTTCGTCTTAACAGTTTGCAGCGTTTTCAAGGACGGGTGACGGGTCGTTTCAAAATATAGTTCTCGCTTTGGCGCCGCGTTCATTCGTCTAAACAGTTTGCAACGTTTTCGAGGATGGAGAGCGGGTCCTTTCTGACGTGTTGTTGTCGCCTTAACGTTGCGCGCATTTGTTGTCAAATTTGGCAACAGCTTCAAGGATGGAGGGCGTTTTCAAAGTGTTGTTCTCGCCTAGCGCCGCTCGCACTTTAAAACAACGAATCTACAACCGTTTGAAGGGTTCGTATGGTTAAAGCCCCAATAACGCTGTTTTGACGCGATTTCGGATACCCAGGGCGCAACAATCAACATGATTCGAGGTGTTCCAGTACCAAGAATGGTGTTATGGCGCTGTTTGGGATTGTCAAGATGCGCCAGTAAGTTCAATTCGCGGCATTGACGTACCAGGGATGGTGTTCTGGCACGATTTGAGGATTCTCAGATGGATGTCTTCCAATGTGGCATCCTTGCAGTGAGCATCAATTCTTCTAGTGGCCTATGAAGAGGGGACTTGGAGGGAGG